ATATATATATATATATATATATATATAAAATCTTCAAAAGTAGCCTTGAACAACCTTGCAAGATGCTCAGTAATACAATATATGAATTATCCATTTTCCTCCCTTTGAAGACTATCCCTCAAACTAAAGGGAGAAAATATCAAGGAACAAACAAGAGTATCCTTTTTTTTTTTGGTCGGTCATGGGACTTGAACTCTGGGCCGGGGTGCTATCCCTGAACTCCTCTTCAGCTTAAGGCTAGCGCTCTACCACTTGAGCCACAGCACCACTTCTGGTTTTCTGATGGTTTATTGGAGATAAGGGTCTCATGGACTTTCTTGCTCAGGCTGGCTTTGAACCATGATCCTCAGATCTCAGACTCCTGAGTAGCTAGGATTACAGGCCTGAGCCACTGGCGCCCAGCTTTGAGAGTATCCATTTATTTCTAAGTAGCTTGTACCTTGATGCTTATTTTTGCTGTTTTCAGGCAGCCATTTGCAAAATAGCTCCTCATGTAGTACAAAAAGGACATGGGAACACATCAGCCAAAGGAAAAGGAGCCCTTGAAGGATGAATCGTTTCTAAGTGGTTCAAAATTGCTTTTGTCATCTAGGAGGTTAATAGTAGACTTCATTAGTGTCATTTTTCCCCCTTGATTATAAGCTTTCTACTACTTCTTTCTGATCAGTAGGTTTCAAACTTTTTTGGAAACCCTTAGAAATGCCTTTTATGTCTAAACTTTGAATGAATGAATAAACCGAGTCTCTGTCTGTCAGTCTATCTTTATCTATCTATCTATCTATCTATCTATCTATCTATCTATCTATCTATCTATCTATCTATCTATCTATCTATCTATCTATCTATCTATCTATCCTCTACATAACAGAAGCAAAGGTTTCAAAGAATGATGCTTACCCTTATGTGTGGTACATTCTGATATTTCCTTTCTGTTCTACTTAATTAAAAAAATACTGTTTAAAGCCGGGCACCAGTGGCTCATGCTTGTAATCCTAGCTACTCAGGAGGCTGAGATCTGAGGATTGTGATTCAAAACCAGCCCATTTAAGAAAGTTAATGAGACTCTTATCTCTAACAGCTGGAAGTGTTGCTGTGGCTCAAGGGGTATAGAGGACTAGCCTTGAGCAAAACAAAAAAGCTCAAGGATGGCACCCAGATCCTGAGTTCAAGCCCTAGAATTTACATCAAAACAAACAAATGTTTATAACTCAGTTAATAGTGTTTGTAAATTCTTGACCTGTAGATTTAAGAATTTTGTTTCAGCAAACAGAGGTCATTTAAGCCCCTTCAGATGACATTCAAGGCCTTCCTCATACTCCTGTTTCCTCTAGCCCAGTGATATATTCAAGCCCTGTATGGTGCTGTATGTATAGTCCCATCTACTTAAGAGACTGAAGTAGAAAGATCACTTGAACCTATGACTTTGAGACTAGACTAGGAACAGTGAAACTGCATCTCAAAAGAAAATCTGCAGCCATTTAAGTGGGAGTTTTATGTTTTGTTTTTTGTCAGTCATGGGGCCTGAACTCTGGACCTGGGCACTGTCCTCAGCTCTTCAGCTCAAGGCTAGAGCTTTACCACTTGAGCCATAGCACCACTTCCAGCTTTTTCTGCTTATGTGGTGCTGAGGAATTGAACCCAGGGCCTCATGCATGTAAGGCAAGCGCTCTACCACTGAGCCACCTTCCTCCCTAAATAGTATTTCTTGAAAAAAAAAAAAAAGTATTTCTTGATCTTGCCTCTTACAGTCCTTCTTTACATGATTGTATCTAGGACTCTTCCTCTTCTCTGAGATCCTGTAGTTAAGCATATATTCTCCAGTGTACCCTTACGATGTAGCAGCTGTCCCTCTTCGGAGTTGTTGCTGTACCTAGTATTACATCCTAGTTGTTTATACCAATTTTCTCTATATTATCCCAGTTTTACTCTGTGCTGCCAAACACAAGCACAATTAGCCATAGTTCAAATGTTACTCTTCTATATTCTTCCCTGAGATCTGAGTATACTTTAAAATATCAAGACTAACAATAGGAAAATACATTTCATGCTAGATTTAAATATATGCTTTATTTGTACAAAACTGAAACAAAAACTTCATGACATAATGCTACTTAAAATGTTTACCTTAATATTATAATAAGGGTTGCTGCTGAGGTAAATACTTACCAAAAGGAGATGATTTATACCCCATCCTGTTCTAAAGTGATTTTAAGAAGACTCATAACAAAACTCATTCATAACAAAGTATGACATTGACATATGACATAAAAATAAGTAGAGATTTTAGGGCAAGAGACATTTGAGTGATAAGTTACAGATTTGACTCTGGTTTTATAGAAGCCAAAGTAAAAGAACTTGACTTTTGATCATATGGTAAATACTGACTTGTTTGTGAAAAGCAATTACTATAGTACTGAGATGGAAGGATACATTTCTTTGTGGGTCTTCAAGAAAGGATCCATGTGGAACAGAAAATGATAGTTATACCTGCCTAACAAAACAGCATCCAGCCTTACAGAGACATGTCTTACACAGGAAGGATATCTTCTATTAAATTGATGGTTTTCTTTCTTTTTTGTACTGATTCTGGGGTTTGAACTCAGGGCATGGGCAATGTCCTTGAGCTTTTGTGCTCAAGGCTTGCTCTCTACCACTTGAGCCACACTTTCACTCCTAGCTATTTTTGGTAGTTAATTGAAGATAAGAGTTTCATAGACCTTCTTGGCCATGCTAGCTTTGAATTGTGATCCTTAGTGTCTCAACCTATTGAGTAGCTAGGATTAAGGCATGAGCCACCAGTGTGTAGCTTGTTGTATCTTTGATCAGATTTACCCTCAAAGGATATGCTTTAGATATTCAAATATGGTTCTCAGCTAGTGTGTTCCGTTACCGTGGTGTTCTTCAAGTTTTCATGGATTGGTTACTGAATTTGTTTTCTAGTCACTGTCACTGTTGGGGAGTGAACCCAGAGCTTCACAGCTGATGGGCAAATAACTTACCACTGAAGGTAAGGTATATGTCCAGCCCCTAATTTTTGTTAATGTGTTGCATTTATTCTTGCTACAGTTGCGGATCCAAAATGCTGAGAAATTTGTGATATAGTGGTATTGGATATGCCTTGCAACAGCCCCCAAGGTTACCCGGGAGAAGGATAGAGCTGCCACTTGGGCTGAACTGAAGAGAATTAACATTGGATTGACTGAAGGCTTTGGATATATTCCCTCACATTACATTTTGGTAAGTACTGTGGAGAGCAACTAGCTTGATCAGTTCTAGGCTCATATACTTCAGTGATAATTAGTAGAGTTGACTACCTCTCTGCAAGGTAGAGCAGCTTCATCAGGTAAGATATTTAATTAGAAGACTCATCTCCACACAGGTGGGAAGAGGAAGGGTGAACCCTGTTAAAAAATTTTCCTTACAAGCTAGCACACTGGCTTAAAATTCTCGTATTGGAAGGTAGAGATCAGAATTGAAGTTCGAAGCCAGCTTAGACAAAAATGTATGAGAGCACATCTCATCCAATAAAACTCTACTGGACGGCACATAAACCTATCATCCCAACTATAAAGGAGATAAAATAGGATGATTATTAGTCCAGGCTGGCCTGGGCAAAAAACATAAGACCCTATTTAGAAAGTACTTAAAGCAGCTGGGTGCTAGTGGCTCATGCCTGCATTCCTAGCTAATCAGGAGGCTGAAATCTGAGTTGTGGTTCAAAGCCAGCCCAGGTAAGAAAGTCTGTGAAACTCTTATCTCCAGTTAACCACCAGAAAACTGGAAGTAGAGCTGTGGCTCAAAATGGTAGAGATGTTAGCCTTGAACAAAAAAGCTCAAGGACAGAGCCCAGGCCTTGAATTCAAGCCCATGGCCAACCAAAAAAGAAAAGAAAAGAATAAAAACCCTAAAGCAAAATTGCTAGGGGTACAGTTAAAGTGGTCGATTACCAGCTTAGCAAGTGTGAGATCCTAAGTTAAAACCCTAGTATTTCTGGGCACCAGTGACTCAAGCCAATAATCCTAGTTACTTAAGAGGCTGAGAGCTAGCCGGGCGCTGGTGGCTCACGCCTGTAATCCTAGCTACTCAGGAGGCTGAGATCTTAGGATCGAGGTTCAAAGCCAGCCCGGGCAGGAGAGACCGTGAGACTCCTATCTCCAATAAACCACCAGAAAACCGGAAATGGCGCTGTAGCTCAAGTGGTAGAGCGCTCGCCTTGAGCTGAAGACTGAGGGACAGAGCCCAGGCCCAGAGTTTAAGCCCCAGGTCCGACAAAATGAAAGTACAATCTCAGTGATTCTTTATATTTTATTTTATTGGCAGTGCTGAGGTTTGAAGTCAGAACATTACACCCCCTCAGCTTACTTGCTCACAGCTGCCTCCCGCACTGCTACTTAAGTCACACTTCCAGCCCTGCTTTTTACTAGTTATTTTGGAGATGGATTTAGACAGACTTTTCTGTATAGTCTGGCTTTGAATGGTATTTCAGCTTCCTTAGTAACTAGGATTAAAGGTGTGAGCCATCATTTCCTGGCTTCTCTCTCTCTCTCTCTCTCTCACTCACTTGCTCACTCACTCCCTTGCTCTCTTTGTGTGTGTGTGTGTGTGTGTGTGTGTTTACACGCACATGTGTGGACCCTGGGGCTTGAACTCTGGCCTGGGCACTATCCCTGAAGCTTTTTTTTTTTTTTTTCTTCCTTTCTCAAGGCTAGTGCTCTACCACTTAAGCTACAGCTCCACTTCCAGCTTTTTGGTGGTTGATTGGAGATGAGCATCTTATGGAGTTTTCCTGCCTGGGCTGGCTTTCAACTGTGACCCTCAGATCTCAGCTCCTAAATAGCTAGGATTACTGATATGAGCCACAAGTACCTTGCTTAATTGTTTTGTGTTAATAAGAAAATATTAGGGCCAGGCATGATGGCTCACATTTCTAATCCTATATACTCAGGAGGCTGAGATCTGAGAATCGCAGGTCAGAGCTAACCTGGGGAGACAAAAAACTGGAAGTGGAGATGTGGCTCAAGTGTTAAGCGTGTCAGTCGTGGCAGGGGGGAGCCAAACAAAAAGCCAAGCAAGAGCAGGAGGCTCTGAGTTCATCCCTCCACTCCCAATAAAAATCGTCAGTGAACTCACAAATATTAAATGACAAAGGTGCTTAGCACCACTGTGACTATTTTCTGTGACCTTTCCCATTCTAGGCTCTCAGGATTTTGTTTGTTTGTTTTTGAGCCTAGCCACCTTTATCCCTGTCCAGGAGGGAGCTCCTATGGCAGCACTGGCAGACCTTGCCTCCATCAGGTCTTCGGTATAACATCAGCTAGAAAACTAGCAGTCTTTGCCAGGATGAGAAGTCCGCAATAGAAATCTTCACAACCTGCAGTGTTTAGTTATCCCCCAACATTGTGTTTAGGATGCATAGAGAGGATGGACTACGAGACATTGTATTGCAGGTTTTGTTCTATGATTCCTTTTTCTTTTCTTACAGAATTAACTCCTAAAAGTTTAGAACTGAGCTTTTTTTTTCTTTTTTTTTTGGTTGGTCGTGGGGCTTGAACTCTGGGCTTGGGCGCTGTCTCTATGCTCTTCAGCTCAAGGCAAGAGCTCTACCACTTGAGCCACAGCACCACTTCTTTTTTTTTAGTGGTTTATTGTAGATTCTTATCTGCCCGGGCTGGCTCAGTCTCCTCAGTAGCTAGGATTACAAGGCGTGAGCCACCAGTGCCCGGTGCCTAGAACTGAGCTTTAACTTGTCTAATACCAAGTTTCATTTTTTGTTTAAGGCTGTTTCTGATGCTTGGAATCTATCCTTGCAGCCACAAAGATGGTAATAAATCTTTGTCTTCCGCAATTCAGACCAAGAATTCACTGCAACAAGGTAAACTGAAGATGTACACTTCAGTATTGAGTATATATTTTCTCCATATTCTCTCATGTATATGGAACTTCATTTAAGCTTACTGTACTTTCACCTTTAGATTCTAGCAGATAATATTTAGATAAGCATGGAGCAGACATACCTCTAGAAGCATAAAGCACCATGTGAGGAGATCTGTAACTCATTTTGTGCTGGGATATTTTTATTTTTTTGGTCTTTTCATTTTTGGTACTGGGGATCGAACTTGCTAAGCAAGCACTTTGCCATTCAACTACATGCCAGTCCTTGTCACTGTGTAATTCCTTGGGTGATCTCATAGTGCTACCCAAAGTCATAGCAAAGGTAGTAATACTCTCTTTCCCCTAATTCTTTTACTAATTTTTTTTCTTTGTTTATTTGTTTTGAGATAGAGTCTAACTATGTGGCCCAGGCTGGTCTTAAAGCCATTCATGATCTTTCTGCCACAGCCTCCTGAGTGCTATTATAGGAGTGAGCCTCCACACCTCCACTCTCTTTTGCTAATTTCTAATGCTAGAAGCAATAGTTTGTATTTGTAGTTTAGACTCCTCACTATATATTACTGAACGTTTGGTTCTGTTTTGTTTTGCTTTTTGTTTTGTTTGATACAAGGTTTACTGTGTAGTGGAGGCTTTGTTTTGCTTTTTGTTTTGTTTGATACAAGGTTTACTGTGTAGTGCAGGCTAGCCTCAAACTCATATCATCCTGCTTCAGCCTCCCATGTGCTAGTGTTACAGGTATGTGCCACCACGCTTGGCTTGCCATTTTTATTTGAATTTAAATAAAGAATTTAAAAAATAAGGCAGAATGTATATAACCTAACTTGTATCCTCCTGTCTTCACATCCTAAATGCTGGGATTACAGATGCCCACCCCACGCCCAGCTTGGGGACATAGTTGCCTAGAGCTTTTGATGTGATTTTGGGTACTTTACTAAAAAAACGTAGACAGTTCAGTTCAGTAGAGGAAATTTGAAAGTGAGGAACTCTAAACTTCCTTAAGGAGTTTCTTTGTTTTGTTTTTTTTTTAGAAGTGAAAAGTTCCTACCTTGGTGTCATTAGCTCACACCTATAATCCTAGCCACTCAGGGGGCTAAGATCCAGAGGATCATGGTTCAAAACCAGCACAGACAGAAAAGTCTGTGAGTCTCTCATTTTCAGTTAATTATCAAAAGCCATTGTAGAGGCATTGTAGTAGAGGGCCAGCCATGAATGAAAAAGCTAAACAAGAGTGTGAGGCCATGCATTTGAGCCACAGTTCTGGAAAAAGAAAGAAAGAAAGAAAAATGAAAAGTGACATTAAAGACAGATGACAGCACAGCTCCTTAATTCTTGAAAATCAGTTGTTTTCATTTGGATCAGCATATGTCCTATATGTCATTAAATCTAGATCTCAGCTGATGGCTATGAAGTTGAAAATCTCATCTCTGAAGACCTCACAAAAAGAAGCCATGGTTTTAGGACCGAGTATTTCATTAAGCCACCAGTCTTTGTGACAGTTTCCTTTCCTTTTAATGTGGAAATCTGTAGGATTAACATAGACCTCACAGCTGGGGGAGGCCAAAATGTCACTGGCCTGGAAATGTACACATCTGCCTTACCCAGCAGAGCCTCTTGGAGTTCATCTGAGTGCCAGGCACTGGGCCTATCTGAGCCATCTGTCCCGGACAAGGAAGCATTCACCTTGGTAGGCAAAGTCTTACTGAGAAACCAGAACCAAGTAGTGTTCAGCCACAGGGGCTTCAAGGCCAGGCCACCTTTCAGCCCAGTGGAAGTCACACTGCCCTCTCCTGCTGTTGTAGCCCAGGAGCTGTGGAATAAGGGGGCTCTTTCCCTTAGTCACGTGGCCCACCTCAGGATCTGCATCACCCATGTGACAGGCAGTGGCATTCCTTGCATCAAACGGCTAGAGGTATGGGGTCAGCCAGCCAAGACCTGCTCTCAGGATGTGATAGACAGTGTCCTGTTAGTGGCTTCAGAGACCCTACCTCAAGTCTTAACTTTTCAGACTCCATCCTTGCCCATGGAGAGTGATTGTGCCCCTGGGGGCCAGTCTGAGCACCCACAGGCCCCCTCGGGCCTCCAGGGGCTGGCTAAGGAGATTCAGGATGTGCCTGAGGAGTTTCTGGATCCCATCACCCTCGAGATCATGACTTGCCCCATGCTGCTGCCCTCTGGCAAGGTCATCGACCAGAGCACCCTGGAGAAGTGCAACCGTAGTGAAGCTGCGTGGGGCCGGGTGCCCAGCGACCCTTTCACAGGTGTAGCCTTTACTCCACACTCCCAGCCCCTGCCCCACACTTCCTTGAAAGCCCGCATTGATCATTTCCTGCTCCAGCACTCCATCCCTGGCTGCCATCTACTTGGGAGAGCACAGACTGCATCAGCAGTAACCCCTTCTATCCTTGCCCTGTCTTCTCGGAAAAGGAAGCTAGAGGAAGCTGGACAGGCCTCGAATAGCAGCCTTGGTACAAATGCTTCCTGTTTCTCCAGCATATACCCTCTGGTCTCACCCACTACCTCAGAACACACCACCAAGAAGATGAAAGCCATCAGTGAGCTTGGCCTGACGTACATGGACTGTTCAACAGGTAACTCCCTGTCCTGTGTCCATGGCTTACAGACACTAGCCGGTCCTCCTTAGCTATATGCTTTGTAGCTTAATTGTCAGGCCACTTCCCATGCTTCTTTCTCAGTCTGTAAGATGCTTTGTCTTTGTCTTCAGTTCTCAAAATGTTTGGAGGCCATGGAGGAGCTGTATGTGTTTTTATGCCTTGGCTCCATCTGCATTTTTCCCCCCCTTCATCTAGTGTTAGTCACACTGGCAGGCTCACCTGCCTCAGGCTCCCTTCTTGTGGCATGGCTAGGTCTACACTTTTTTCTGGCTCTAGTCTCCTTGGTCACTCCTGAGAGGAGAGACACTTGTCCCTAGAGCAGACTTTTCTGAGGACATCTTTTTGGCTCCTCAGGTATCAGTGGACTCCTCCAGGGTGTCTTTTGACCTTCACAGAGGAGCACTGGCAGAGCTGCCTCACCTCCCCATGAGGTGCCATAGCACCCAGAAAAGTAGGAAGATTCCAAGTTGGAAAGAAAAGCTATCCCAAAGCAGCAGACTGCAGTGTTCCTGAGTATCAGATTTAGGCCTTCTGGCTTCCTGCCTCCTCCCTAGTGCTTTGCCATTAGGACCTCTGAAGCTGAACATGTTTAGTAGCTTTGCTTAAGCTTGACTTTTCTCCCCACTTACCCTGCCCAACTTCATGTGCTTATTGAACTCAGTTTAGGAGCCGTTGCTGAACCCCATGTTCATTTTCATATCCTGAGGCCCTGCACAAAAGTCTATTGTGGTTTTCATGTGTTCCAAATAAGACTGACAAGGAATATATTAAATCTAGTAAAAGACAGGAGGAGCAAAGAAAAACAAGGAACTATAAATTAAAAATGTCTTTTCAACTGAGGACAGCCTGAACAGAAAGTCTAATGCCTTGATTAGGATATTCTCTTCAAGGCAGTGAATGACTTAGGGCAAATACTGATTAAAACAGAGAATAGAGAAAATTGGTAAGATCTTTCAACTACAAAATTGAAGCAAGAGGAATTTTTGGAATCTAAGATTAGGTAAGAGTTTTAAAGATGATTTCACAAAAGAAGTCTTTATACTACTTTATCACTATTCTATTTTTACTAAACTTAACCTTAACACTAGCTTTGTAAAAATAAGCAATATATTAATATAGTTTTAAAAAGTGAAAAAAAAATTTGTACACACAAAATGAAACAACCAGTCCTCTTTCCTCCTTTTGATGGGCAGTTAAGTTGTTTCTCATTTGGGGGATATTAAAGATAGTGCTGCACAGAATTAACTGTACAAATACAATTTTCCATCTCTGCAGATGTCTCTGTAGGACATGATCTTACATTTGGAATTTCTGAGTCAAAGGATAGATTCTGTAAGTCAGACAGATGTTGGTGAATTGCCCTTTGGCCATCTCACCAGTGATGTGACATTTCTCATGGCTCTACTAACAGTATTGGCAAACTGTTCACACTGTTAATTCACAGGTTAAACAGTGTCGTGTATTGCTTTAATTTCAAACCTCTTATTAATGAGCCTTGAGCATTCCTCACATGATTTAAAAAAAAAAATGGTCTGGGAAGGTGGCTCAGTGGTAGAGCGCTTGCCTTGCATGCCTGAGGCCCTGGGTACGATTCCTTAGTACCACATAAGAAAAAAGAAAAAAGCCAGAAGTGGCACTGTGGCTCAAGTGGTAGAACGGACTCCTGAGTACTGAGATTACTAGTATTTACCACTTCACTTAGTCTCCTATCCCTTTTTTTTTTTTTGGTCAGTCCTGGGGCTAGAACTCTGGGCCTAGGTGCTGTCCCTGCACTCTTCAGCTCAAGGCGAGCACTCTTCCGCTTGAGCCACAGTGACACTTCCAGTTTTCTAGTGGTTTATTGGAGATAAGAGTCTCATGGGAGCTGGGAAGGTGGCTCAGTGGTAGAGCGCTTGCCTTGCATGCCTGAGGCCCTGAGTTCGATTCCTCAGTACCACATAAGCAAAAAGAAAAAAACCGGAAGTGGCACTGTGGCTCAAGTGGTAGAGTGTTAGCCTTGAGCTGAAGAGCTGAGGGACAGCGCCCAGGCCCAGAGTTCAGGCTCCATGACCGGAACCCTCCCCCCCCCCAAAATAAAAAAAGAGTCTCATGGACTTTCCTGCCCAGGCTGGCTTTGAACCGCAGTCCTCAGATCTCAGCCTCCTGAGTAACTAGGATTACAGGCATGAGCCACCAGCGCCTGGCCTCCTATCCCAGTTTATCTTTTTTTCTTTTTCTTTTTTCTTTTCAATTCAAGACTGAAACTTTAACTTAGTACCTGATACTTTTACTCATTAGTAGCACTCTACCAACTGAGCCATGCCTCCAACCCCTCCTCCAATTTCCCTTATTTTTTTATCTTTTTTTATTATTCCTAGGAACTCTTTGTATATTGTGAAGTCTAGCCCTTTATCTTTGATGTGAGCTGAAAATGCATTTTCCCAGTTTGTTGTCTGATGGTAGACAAAAGCAAGGCATCTTTGATCAGGCTCTTTTGTAATTTTTTGCTTCATAAAAGAGAAGTTGGGGGCTGGGAAGGTGGCTCAGTGGTAGAGCGCTTGCCTTGCATGCATGAGGCCCTGGGTTCAATTCCTCAGCACCATATAAGCAAAAAGAAAAAAGCCGGAAGTGGTCTGTGGCTCAAGTGGTAGAACGCTCGCCTTGAGCTGAAGAGCTGAGGGACAGCGCCCAGGCCCAGAGTTCAGGCCCCACGACCAGACCAAAAAAAAAAAAAAAGAAGTTGGGCTGGGAAGGTGGCTCAGTGGTAGAGTGCTTGCCTTGCATGCATGAGGCCCTGGGTTTGATTCCTTAGCACCACATAAGCAGAAAAAGCCGGAAGTGGCACTGTGGTTCAAGTGGTAGAGTGCTAATCTTGAGCTGAAGAGCTGAGGGACAGCATCCAGGCCCAGAGTTCAGGCTGCATGACTGGCAAAAAAGAAAAAAAAAAGTTGGAAATTTTTATTTTCCATACTCTGAAACAATTTCTTAGTATTAAAATAATCTGTACTTTACATGTTTGGAGACTGTCTTGGATAACAGTTTATAATACTATGGGAGATAGCTTAACAGTTTGTTGTTGTTTGTCAAGTCGTGGGGCTTGAACTCTGGGCCTGGGTGCTGTGCCTAAGTTCTTCAGCTCAAGGGTTGAGCCACAGTGCCACTTTTGGTTTTTCTGGTGATTAATTGGAGATAAGAGTCTCCTGGACTTTCCTGCCTGGACTGGCTTTGAACTGTGATCCTAAGATCTCAGCCTCCTGAGTAGCTAGGATTACAGGCATGGGCCACCAGTGCCTGGCTTTAACAGTTTTTTTTTTCCTAATGAAAATTAGTTTAAATTGTATCATTCTTTAATTTCCCATTTTTCTCTAGAAGGTTATGCAAATACTGTGCATTATAATCGCTATTTGTCTAGATTTGAGAATAAATTTTAGCTAACGACCCCCAGAAACTCTGGAAGCATGTTAAGTACAGTAGGATCAGATGGGAAGAAAAATACTTAGCTCCATGGTATTGGCCTTGACAGGCTTGGTGTGATAGAGGGCCACACTAAGCGTGCTCTTTTAAGGCCCCAAGTTGTCTTTGTATGTACTGCAAACTGTAATAAAACATGCTAGTCCCTTTTTGGGACCTGCCACCAGACAGGTCCTGAGCTTTCTTTCTTTCTTTCTTTCTTTCCTTCCTTCCTTTCCTTTCCCAGTCGTGGGGGCTGAACTCTGGGCCTGGGCACTGTCCCTCACCTCACAGCGCCACTTACAGCTTTTTCTGCTTATGTGGTACTGAGGAATCAAACCCAGGGCCTCATGTATACAAGGCAAGCACTCTACCACTGAGCCACCTTCCCAGGCCCCTGAGCCCTTTCTTGCCCAGCCATAATTTGGCTTTCTGTTGCTCACTTAACCTAGATGGTGATGGCCTGGTCAGAGTGAGTAACCAAGGTTGGTCTACATGCTTTACTTACCCGCAGAGAAAGGCCACAACACCTACAGTGGGCAGGCAAGCAGCTCTGCAGGGATAGGAACTCCAGAAGGGAAGATATACATAAATAGAAGACTGTCTGCTGGGGAGGAAAGATGGAGGCAGGGGGCAGAAGTACAGAGCCTGCCCATTGCTTTTCCCATTTCCTTAGCCAGCAGGAGGCCTTTATAGAAAGACATATTCAGGGGCTGGGGATTTAGCTCAGTTGGAGGGTACTTACTCAGAGTGTTCAAAGCCCCCCACTCCATGAAAAAGAAAAAAGAAAGGCAGCTGCAGTTCTCTAGCAGTGCCACAAGGTGGCCCCCTCCTGCCCAGCTATTGGGGTTCCCAAGGCTGTGCCATATCCCTGGGAGAAAAGAGGAAGGAATTTCTTTACACTTCTTTAATTCTGAAGTTGGAAGCGCTATTTTGTAGTCCCCAGAAGACTTGTGGCTTCTCTTGCCAAACTTCTCTCTGGATGTTGTGGTCTACATATCTCTTAACAGGTCCAGTGTCTCATGAGCAGAAGCTGTCACAAAGCTTGGAAATTGCCTTGATGTCCACCCTTGGCTCCATGCCCTCCTTCACCACCCGGCTGACCCGGGGGCAGCTCCAGCACCTGGGCACAAGAGGGAACAGCACTTCTGGGAGGCCAGGCGCCATCTCGGGTAACCTGGGCCAGCCATCTGCCAGGGGTCGTAGAATGAATAGTTTGTCTGTGCAGGATGCTGGGCCTGGTCTCTCGGGGCTCTGTGTGTCTGCATGACCAGCTCCCCTTTCATTGTAATTTTCTCTTCTTCAGGGAGAAGTGGCAGGGCTACCAAGGCAGGTGACTCTTCACAGTCAGACCTGTCATTCTGTGGACTCTGGTCCACCTACTCTCTGCCGAGTTTTCTTCATAAGATCCAATGTTTATTATTCTCTCCTGAGGATTTTTTTTCTTTTTTGCAGTGGCAGGATGGGTAGTATTGGTATTTGAACTCAGAAACTCAGTCTTGAACATGCTTGGACAAGTGCATTACCACTTGAGCCAGTCCTTTTGCTTTTAGTTTAGGGGTTTTGTGCTTTTGCCCAAGCAGGCCTTAAACCATGATCCTCCTGTCTTCGCCTCCTGAGTAGCTAGGATTACAGGCATATACCACTGTGTCTAGCGCCTTTCTCTTTGTTTTCCTAATCTAGTTTGTCTCCCATCCAACATCTCCCATCAACATAGAAGGGTAATGGAATATTAGAATTTGTTCAGATACAGATGAGAAGACCTGACTGGAATGCTGGGGTGCTGTATAAGATGAAACTGCAAGTACTTGATAACTCCTGCTGATGCAAACCTGTGCCTTCTTGTGTGGTCTGGATTCTAGACCATCTCCCTGTCTTACTTCTGCCCATTCTGATTGTTTCTACCTTAACTGTTACTAAGAACTTGCCTGTCAAAGCTGGATGCTGAGTGCTTCCCAGATACTCAGGAAGCTGAGATCTGAGGATTGATATTTGAAGCCATCCTGAGTAAGAAAGTCTGTGAGACTCTTATCTTGAAAATAACCAGTAGGAAAACAAAGATAGAGGCACACCAGCTAAGCAAGCACAGAGTCCTGAGTTCAAACCCTGGTACTGCCCTCTCCCCCCAAAAAATAGTGACTGGCAGCTTGCCCCCTAGCGTCTTGTGATGTAGCAGACTAGTGTCACTTTTTATTTTGGCCTTCAGATGACATGACTTCCCTATCTTCAGTAGTTTCCCTTCACTTTTTTTTTTTTTTTTTGTCGGTTGTGGGGCCTGAACTCTGGGTCTGGGCGCTGTCCCTCAGCTCTTCAGCTCAAGGCTAGCACTCTACCACTTGAGTCACAGCACCAATTCTGGCTTTTTCTGCTTATGTGGTACTGAGGAATCGAACCCAGAACCTCATGCTTGTGAGGCAAGTACTCTACCACTGAGCCACCTTCCAAGCCCTTTTTTTTTTTTTTTTGCCAGTCCTGGGCCTTGAACTCTGAGCCTGGGTACTGTCCCTAACTAAGCTCCTTTTGGCTCAAGACTAGTGCTTGAGCTACAGCACCACTTCTGGCTTTTTGTGTGATTAATTGGAATTGGTGAGTCTCATGGACTTTCCTGCCTGGCCTGACTTTGAACTGCGATCCTAAGTTCTTAGCCTCCTGAGTAGCGAGGATTACAGGCCTCACTGAGCCACTAGTGCCCATGTCCCTTCACTTTCCATTACCAACTTCTCTCTCTATCACACTCTGGCCCTGGACCCTCTTCTCTCTGTATTCTGTCAGACTAGTGAAAGTTCATTTGTCTAATACTGCCCCTGTAGCTCCTGCTTCTCTTTGGAGCTTAGACCCTTGTTCATGACAGCTACTTCCTAGCTTCTTCTCTTCTCACAGGTATCATGATTAATCATTCTAATTGAGTTGTCCTGTCTCCCCTCCAAGGCTTTCTTTTGCCCTCCTTCACTTTTGTAAAGAACTATTTTTTCGGGGGCTGGGAAGGTGGCTCCATGGTAGAGCGCTTGCCTCGCATGCATGAGGCCCTGGGTTCGATTCCTCAGCACCACATAAGCAGAAAAAAGCCAGAAGTGGCGCTGTGGCTCAAGTGGTAGAGTGTTAGCCTTGAGCTGAAAAGCTGAGGGACAGCGCCCAGGCCCAGAGTTCAGGCCCCACGACTGACCAAAAAAAAAGAACTTTTTTCCACCTTTGTGAGCCTTTGACATGGAAGTCTTCCCTGGTTTCTGACAATTCCAGTGAGTCTGCTTCATGCCCCTCTGCAGTACATCGCAGGTTAGTCTCTGCTGTGAGTCCCCGGGCCGCCAACCGGCCGCCAGCTCCTGTTCTCTCTCCTCTGGCTAGTCCTTGCAGTAGCTCCTACTGCTCCCCACAGCCACCAGCCATTTCTTTGTATCCTCCCAGAGCATGCCATTGAACTTAGAGTAACTCTGAGGTCCTGCATGCTCTATGGATAGTCTGTCTTCTCTCAGTTTCATCTGAGATCACACTGTCACTCACTGGTCACACCCTGTGTCTCCCGAGTGTGGCACCCCCCCCCCCATGGCCTTTGTTTTCTACCTGGTTTGTGCTAGAGAGAATTAGGGCCTTTTATGTTTCTGTGATACAGGTACGTTTTGTTGTTGTTTTTGTGTCAGTACTCAGGTTTGAATTCTGGGCCTCAGCTCTTGGAGGGTACTCTATCACTCAGTCTATGCCTCCAGTTCAGGTTTGTTTGCTGGTTAATTAGAGATAAGGGTCTTTTGGATTTTTTTGTTCTGGCTTGCTTCAAACTGTAATCTTCAGATCTCAGTCTTCTGAGTAGCTAGGATTATTGTCATGAGCCACCAGCACCCTCAGGTGTGGGTTTTTTGTTTTTGTTTTTGTCGGTCTGGACCTGGGCATTGCCCCTCAGCTCTTCAGCTCAAGGCACGTGCTCTACCTCTTGAGCCACTGCACCACTTCTGGTTTTCTGGTGATTAATTGGAGATAAGAGTCTCAAGGGCTGGGCGCAGGTGTCTCACGCCTATAATCCTAGCTACTCCAGAGGCTGAGATCTGAGGATCTCGGTTCAAAGCCAGCCCTGGCAGGAAAGTCCATGAAACTCTTAAAGTCCGTGAAACTCTTATCTCCAATAAACTGCCAGAAAACTGGAAGTGGTACTATAGCTCAAGTGGTAGAGCGCTCGCCTTGAGCTGAAGAGCTGAGGGACAGCACTCAGGCCCAGAGTTCAAGCCTCACAACCAACAACAACAACAAAAAGTCTCAGGGGACTCAGGCAGGCTTTGAACCTTGATCCTCAGATCTCAGCCTCCTGAGTAGCTAGGATTACAGGCATGAGCCACCAATGCCTGGCTTGCTTTCTTTCCTTCCTTCCTTTTTTTTTTTTTGGTCAGTCGTGGGGCTTGAACTCTGGGCCTGAGCGCTGTCCCTGTGCTCTTCAGCTCAAGGCTAGCGCTCTACCACCTGAGCTACAACACCACTTCCGGTTTTCTAGTGGTTTATTGGAGATAAGAGTCTCACGGACTTTCCTGCCTGGGCTGCTTTGAACCACAATCCTCAGATCTCAGCCTCCTGAGTAGCTAGGATTACAGGCGTGAGCCACCGGCACCCCGCTCTTTTCTTTTCTTTCTTTCTTTCCTTTCTTTCTCCCTTCCTCCCTCTCTCTCTCTCTCTCTTTTTTGGTCGGTTGTGGGGCTTGAACTCTGGGCTTGGGCACTGTCCTTGCACTCTTCAGCTCAAGGCGAGCTCTCTACCCCTTGAGCCACAGCACCACTTCCGGTTTTCTAGTGGTTTATTGGAGATAAGAGTCTCACGGACTTTCCTTGCCCGGGCTGGCTTTGAACCTCGATCCTCAGATCTCAGCCTCCTGAGTAGCTAGGATTACAGGTGTGAGCCACTGGCGCCCGGCTCGCTCTTTCTTTCTTTCTTTCTTTCTTTCTTTCTTTCTTTCTTTCTTTCTTTCTTTCTTTCTTTCTTTCTTTCTTTCTTTCTTTCTTTCTTTCTTCTGACTTTACTGAGCTTAGGGCCAGGGCAATCTCCCTTAGCTTTTTCACTCAAGGCTGGTGCTCTACCACTGAGCCATACCTTCACTTCTAGCTGTTTTGCTGGTTAATTGGAGATAAGATTCACAGGTTGGCCGCAAACCATGATTCTCAGATCTCAGTTTCCTGAGCAGCTAGGATAATAGGTATTATACTGGTGCGCTGCTGATTTATGTGATTCTTGGCTAAAGTGCATGCGAAAGACACCCATTTCTTTTAGGTTGCTTCATGTTTGGCTAAAGGGAAATTCCCAAGGCCAGGCACTTTTTCACCTGTAGCCTCAGGGATGTTGAGGCAGGGCAGCACTCTGTATCACATTGCAGCTGGCTTTCCAAGCCAAACTTCATGTCTTGGTAGGCATACTCTTTGTGTAGATGTCAGACCTATGTATCACATGCTGACTGAGCTCTGCTCTGAGGTGTTTTGCTAGGCCCTGAGAACAGAGAAAGAATCTCATTTGTCCTCACCCTTAAGAGGTTCCTAAGGCACAGTCATGTAACTGGTAGCATGAGAAGAGCTAAGAGCTCAAGAGCACAGGGAAAGGGTCACAAGCCTCTCTAGTGTGCCTAGAGGCTGTGTGATCTGAGCTACAGGATATTATAGGCACAATCTGAAGACCAACAGCCTCCAAGTGTACAGAAGAGATTTGAAATGACTGGACTCTAAAGGCCAAGCGTGGATGCAAAGGCAGGGAGGCTGGGTAGGCCATGCAAGGGCTCGAGGAGTGCCCCAATTCGTATGGAGAAGTGTAGGATCAGGTTGTGCTGGTGAGACAGAGGGTCACAGGTTCAAGGAAAGATGGTGAGGACAAAAATGCAGGAGTAAGCCAGGGAGGAAGGGACACATTGAGCAGCCTGGATGGTAACATGGAAGTAGATGGGGGGAGGGACTTGGGGTTCAAGAACTTCTAGAGCAGTTACCATCAACTGGGAATGAAGAGTTGGACTCCCTAGATAAGGGAAGAAGGCAAGGGCCCCAGGAGAGGAAGAGTCCCAGGTGAGGCTGGTGGGGGTCAGGGAGTGCTCTCCTTGCTCAGGAGGCCTTTGAGAGCTGTGCAAGGGAGGAGCTGCCCAAGAGGCTGTGGAGCACAGGAAGACTGAGGGGCTAAGAAGGGGCTACAGATAGACAGGAGCCTGCCCCCTGGTAATTTCCCTATGCCCTGTCCTCCCCTGGTCCTGGTGTCAGGAACCTTTGTGCTTTTCCTTTCCTGGTATCATGCTGAGCTGTGCTGTGCTGTGCTGTGCTTCAGCTTTGGCAGGAAAGAACCTTGCTGAGAGATGGGGAAAAGCCTTATCTTACTACTGCCCAGCTGCTCTCAGACCCAGCTCTTCTCCAGCAGTCATAGGAATAGCACCAAGACTTGGTCAACAGTGGCAGAGAAGAGTCTCCCTAGGTCCAGTTCTGCCACCTCTCCTGCCAGCTCAGCTCAGCTAGGGTGGGCTGGGGAGGGACAAAGCCAGACTGCTGTGGAGCCTGGACTGAGGAGCAGCCATCCCTAACCTGGCCATTCTCTTCTTGATTCACCAGAGCAGTCCAGGGGCGATGTTGGTCCTGAATGTGCCTCCTGCAAAAGAGTATTTTCTCCCTACTTCAAAAAGGAGCCTGTGTACCAGCTACCCTGTGGCCACCTCCTCTGCCGGCCCTGCCTGGGTGAGCAGCAGCGCGCTCTGCCCATCATGTGCACAACCTGTCAGCAGCCAGTCGCCAGCCAGGATGTGCAGCGAGTCCACTTCTGAGTGATCATCCTCAACCTGAGGAGCCCTGTTGCTAGGAGGAGCCGAGGGGAGTCAGGAGCAGGGCTCAGTGCTCCTGTGACCTGGCTGGTGCAAGCACATAGTGGCCTCTTTCCTGGGACTGTCGCACCTCACTGTACAGCATGGTCACCAAGTGGGGAGCACTCCACTCCTGGCTCGGGTGGCAGCAGGATAAAAAAGCCATAAGCTGGGCTTTCCCCAGCCAGAGCCGGGCCCCAGGGATCTCCTGCTGAGGGCCCCTAAGCTATCTGCACACACCTTCTTCTAGCCTTGTGAGTAGAGCACAGTGGACTAGGGCTCGAGATCTCACAGAGATCCTCTGCCTCACAGTCACCCAGAAGTGGACCACAGTGGGAGTTGTGGAGCACATGACCCAGTTTCCCCAACTACCACCACCACCACCACCGGCAGATAGCAGGTATCATCAGAGCCTTAATAAAGTAATGGTTGACATCCACCGTGAGCGTCCGCTGGATAGAGTGCCTGTTTATTCTCATACTCCTGTCCTCACCTGCATCCACTCAAGTGGATGACACAGGGCAGCTGTGAGCAGTCACTACAACCCACCAGGCTGTGTTGCGTACCAGTTGTGTAAAAGGACAGGAGCGTCTCAGGGCGGGACCTGAGAGCTGCAGGCATGGATCTGCTGTGGGTACTGCCAGTAGGGAGATGAGTGGCCTCTCTCTGGCCAACTGCCTGCACGCGTCAGCTCTTTCTGCAACTGCTGAGGCCACAGCGCAAGTTCTTTTCAGAAACACACACACACACATACAACTTTTTAGAGACTTCATTCAAAATTTAGCTTTCTGGAGTCCCAAAGGGAAAATAAGTATTCCTACAACAGTTTACCTTGTCATAAAGATCCTGTTAATGGGGAAAAATGTCAGTGAGAAAATACACTACACCATCCCTGTTCCCTTCCAAGCTTGGTGGGGAAGAACAGAAGAACAGCTGGTCATCAGTCTCTGGGGGCAGGTCCTTGTCCCTTCAAACCACCCATGGCTCCAGTCCAGATCCCAGGATTGGTAGACATAGGGTTGTGTATTTTGGGGTTCCTGGGACTTGTTCACACAAGTGGCTGTGCAGAGGTGGCTGTTTCCTCTTGTCACACTGGCGCTTACCTTGCCACTGGTAAGACTGGTGGGAGGCCCTGTACATCTTTGCCTTTCAGCGTGGAATGTCTGGATAGTCTCCTACTGCCTTCCATGCCTGCCTGCCTTTTCCTGTATGCGTGACTGGGGATCCAACCTCCACCTGTCATGGTCTCAAGACCAGTCTGCTTTTTTGCCAGCACTCCATGTCCTCAGGGCTGAGGGCTGGCATTGGCTAGTGCTGCTGCTCCCTTTGGGCTTGGAGAGCTACATGTCTAATGACAGCAGCCCAACAGGAGGAAGCTCAGGTCTGGCAGCCCCTTGGAGCACACAGGACATGGGTCCTCGCGACCTTACATTTCCCCAAAGCGTGTGCTCTTCACCCACTCTCACCAGAAACGTACCACACCCAGTGGAGCACCACTAGCCATTTCTCTTCCCTAGAAAATGAGAATGCAATTTCTCCTGTTGCCAGTTGTCCCAAGGGCAGTTTATTTCTCATCCTAACCCAGGGCCAGGCACAAAACAGCTTCCCAGTAAACACAAGAGTTCAACTCCGTTGACTTGGGACCCCACAGCCTCTCTGTGCTGCTGCCTTCCACAGATCCTCCTGCTCTCCTGATCATGAGATCTGTGGGATGTCTCTCCCTTCTCATGTCATTTGCTCAGTGGAGGCACAAGCACACATCCCATTTGAGACCCTTGGAGAGCAGGCAAGATGGCTTGATGAGGCCAAGGGGCCCAGCTGGCTCCGGTTCCAGCTCTCCATCCTCCAGGTGCAAGGATGAAGCCTGGTCAGCCGCACGGTGAGGCCAAGACTTTAGCCCCAGCCACTGCCTGTCCTCTCAGGAGCTGGGCCATGCCAGCTGCTGTTGCCTCCAGCCTCTGTCAGAATTAATCCTGAAAGCAGAAGAAATAGAACCAAATCGCCAGGAAGAAGAACAGCAGCAGTTCGGTGTTCACAGAGAATCCCTGCTCCCTGCAGTTGGACATCTGGGCCCTGTAGCCCCGAAGTGTTGGGGCTAGGAAGCCTCCCTGAGCCCCACACCTGTCCTGCTTCTTCCTAAAGTTCTCCAGCTTGAGGCCACTCAGCTGCTGGGTGCCTTGCCATTCCCCAGGAAACGGGGTCCACTGACGCTGGAGTTGCTGTAAGTAGGTCTGCAGACAAAGAGACCTGCCTCTGGAGTAAACCGCCCCCGTGCTGTTCAGCCTTTCTGCCTCCCACTGCCTGTAGCATTGTGACTGGCCTGAATGTCATTGTGATGGCCACTGCGGCGGGGATGGGGCTGCCACAGGCCGGCCCCTCCTGTCACGCTCCCTTGGTTGTCTTATGAGCAGGATGTGGCCCTGCCCCACCCTGTCTATACCCCCTCTCAGCACCAGGCCAGGGCCTGCTGCTGCCTGCGTCTTCCCTTGGGGTTTTGTGTGGGTCGGGGAAGGGCTGAGCTGGAAATTAGCAGAAATCATATAGTCCAGTAGAGAGGAAGTTAAGCCACATATAACAAAACTTTAACATTCTTAAAATGTTGTTTTCTAGTCTCACCAGCTAGCCACATCTCAAGTATTTGAAAATTACATTGGTTAGTGGCTACTGTATTGGGACAGTTCAGTGGTAGACCAGCTGTATCATTCATAAAGTTCTAGGCAAAAATAAGAACACAGTGAGACTTGTCTCTGCAGTGGCCTGCAGAAAACTGCTGCAACATGGTGGGGGTGGGGGTGGGGGGCCAGCAGGATAGTGGGAGAGAGGAATCACCCAGGCCTGAGCCTCACTCCTCTGGTCCTGGCAAATAGACATTAGCTATTCCTCAGCCTCTGCTAAACTCTTCTGTCTTGTGGCTGGAAGCTGAGATCAGGAGGATCACAGTTCCAGGCTAGCTCAGAAGAGTCTACAAGACTATGCTGGTGCATACATCTCCCAACTACAACAGGAAATGAAAAATAGAAGTAATCACAGTCCAGGCACATGCCTAAGCAGGAAGGAAGCAAGACCTAATCTCAGGAATAACCAGTGTCGCTGGGCACTCACCAGTGCTCACACCTGTAATGGTAGCTACTCAAGAGCCTGAGTTCTAAGGATTGTCGTTTGAAACCAGCCTGGGCAGGAGAAGTCTGTGAGACTTTTATCTCCAACTAACCACCAAAAAGCTAGAAGAGGAACTGTGGCTCAAGTAGTGAAGTGCTAGCATTGAGCGAAAGAGCTCATGGACAGGCCCTGAATTTAAGCCACAAAAGGTAGGTGGTCCAAAAAAGGTAGAGGAGGAGGAAAATGGGAAAGAGAAGGAAGGAAAGAAGATGAAAAAATAAGATAAGGGGCTGGGAAGGTGGCTCAGTGGTAGAGCGCTAGCCTTGAGCTGAAGAGCTGAGGGACAGCACCCAGGCCCCAGAGTTCAGACCCCACGACCCCAACCAGTGGAAAAGGTTGGCGTTTGTCTCAGTAGAGCGCCTGTCTCACAAGTATGAGGCACTTGTAAAGCCCAGTACAATTTAAAGTCTTGGGTGGGGAGGTGCCTAGAATGGCTCCGGCCTGCCATACTCATCCCAGCCTCCCTCAGGGAAGCCAGGGTGTCATATACACGCTGGGCACACCTGATGGATGGAGATCCTCGGAGTGGCACAGGGACACAGCTCTTGTGATAGTAATTTTTCTGTGAAGGTTTAGAAGAGTAACAGCATAGTGCACTTCAAGGTCTGACCTCACAAGTATTTTGGAGCTTTCCCTTTCCCATACTTTTAGTATAAGGGAAATGTTATATATATATTTTTCCATTGCTGAGAAGACAAAAAAAAATAGCTCAAGGGTTGAGTGCTTGCTTAACATTCATGAGGCCCTGAAAAAAAAAGCCAAAGTCAAGAATTTAGTATTGAGCAAAATGTCCCGATCAATATGTGCAGTAATATATACAATTCAGGTTAGGAGAAAACCGAGGTTAAAATCACACTCAGAACTACTCTGACTTGCTATAGTTCTGTAGTTGGGTCATCTCCTGTGGAATCCACAGGCATTGCCAGCTCCTGTCTGGTGAGAAATCACTGGCCACATAATACACAGGAACCTCCTTATGTAGGCATCAGAGTAGAACTATTGGATATCAACTTCATAAGCAGCCCGTGCCCAGCTGTGTGCCTCTAGGCATAAGAATAAAAGCTGTTCTTGGTGCTGGTGGCTCACCTGTAATCCTAGCTACTCAGTAGGCTGAGATCTGAGGATCACGGTTCAAAGACAGCCCTTGCCTTGAGCTGAAGAGCACAGGGACAGTGCCTAAGCCCAGAGTTCAAGCCCCATGACTGACAAAAAAAAAAAGTTGCTTCCCTTAATAAGGGCTCTGCAGGTTAACCTGGCTGAAAAAGCACCTGCATGCAGTTCCTGGGAGAGGTCATGGGGAGGGTCTTTAGCAGGCTGTGGCCAGGCGCAGTGGTGTGAAGCTGCCCTAATGGGCTGGCCATCTTCACAGAGACCCCAGCTGAGTGACATGGAAAGCATGTATGAGTTGGTACCCAATGAGTCCATGTGGTCCTGGCAGAGTGGGAAGGCAGGAGGGACAGACAGATTGGCAGAAAGTCTCAGAAAGATGTCAGGAGTAGGTAGAATGGGTTGGGACCAGAGACCCTCACAACTGGTGGAGAGAACTAGGCTTGAAAAGGGAAGGACAGAAAATTGGCCTCCATCTCTCCGACCTCCTCTCCTCCACTTGGTACCCTCCCCTTGGGCCCAGGGCCCAGATAACAGCTCTGACTCAGCAGATGAAATGCAACCCCATGGCTCATTAATTAGGAAGACTGTAATTAGCCTGTCTCAGAAAATAGGAGCCTCCAGAGAGAACCCCTTTCACCTGCCTTCCTCTCTCCCACCTACTGGATGAGCTCAGGCTGAAGGAGCTCTGGCTCTGGGGACTCACGAGGTGAACGGAGCATGAGCAATTGGGGAGATGAGATGCTCTGGCACGTGCTTGTGTGTGCAATGGTGACCTTCTGTAATGAGATGATGGAAATGATCTAAGATGCCTGAACCCCCAAGGTTTCCTTCCTCAAGCAACATGGGGGCAGCCTGGCCCAGGCTGATTCAGCTTGGCCTGTGGTAAGAATTGCAGGGCTGCACCCCTTC